TACTGTCAATAGAACGGGTTCAACGTCGCGCGACCAAATTCATCCTTTCCCTTCCTTACAGAACAGCCACAGCATACAGGGAACGACTACTGGTTATCGGTATTCTCCCGGTCTGCTATTGGCACGAATTTCTAGACTTAGTTTTTCTTTACAAGAGTATTCTAAGCAACGATGTCAATGTGTCAATACGAACAACCACCCGGACGACTAGAAACGCTGACCCTGTCAATGGTATTCTTCTTAATGTATCTCGATGCAGGACAGTTAGCTACAAGAACAATTTCTATGTGAGAGCGCCTAGCGTATGGAACATTCTCCCTAGCAATATTCGTGACACTTCAAGATCATTAGCTTACTTTAAAATCTCTTTATTCAATTACTACTTAAACCTTTTAGAACAAATATACAACCCGGACAATCCTAGAACATTTAAGTCCGTGTGCGTCAAATGCCACTCAACTCGGTCTCTTGATAGTTTATTAGTGAGGACATGTTGTTGACATTTTAGCATAATTTGTTTTAATGTTATATATTGTAACTTATTGTGAGGGGCCCCATAATTGGAGATTATCTCTGTGGCTAGTCCCTGCCCGAATTGTATGTAAATTTTGTAAAGTATTAGTCTTACTTATGTCTGTTATGTTTGGCGAATCTTGTAAAATCTTGTAAAATAAAATACAATGCCAATCCCTCATAGTCCCGTAAAAGTCCTTCGGTAACGGTTGTTTGTAAGAATCATCGATTATTGGACCCACTTCCACAGACACAGTCAACAGGTAAACAAGAATAATGTTCAAAAGGACGAACGGAATCAGGATTTTATTCATTTGAATGTTGATTAATAGGCTGGGTTGCGTAATTAATGAACTAATCAATTATTAAACCAAATTCTAATAGATGTTCCAAATTGGATTTGAAATTGTTCCACTGACGTACGTAGTTATTGTCGTGTGCGCCGTATGCTTGCGTGAAAGTCAACGGTTCAAATTTAACGGTTCCAACTTGAATTCAGATGCAAAAAGCACGATATTTAATTTGACGCTTTCTCCTTGATTTAAATAACCAAAATCGTACGCAACTTGATAATACCCAGGACAGTATCTTTAGCCACTACTTTCCAATGAAGTCGAATTTTAACGTTTAGTTTTAATGCAAAATTTTAAACAATTTTACGGAGCGCCGACCGTGCGTGTGCACGCGCACGCACGATCACGAATCGCCAAGGGTAAAATCAAAGATTAGGTACTATAAAGATGTGCCACTATGCGAAAATTATGTCCGAGATTTTTTTATAGCCGGCCAATTTGCCAGTAAGTGTCAAATTCGTCATATAGCGCGAGCATCGCGATGGCAACCTATTGTATTCGTCTCGCCGCCATTTTTGCCAGTAAGTGTTATGCACTAGTCATCTCGCGTGATCACCCGTGATCAGCACGGAAAATTACGGACACGAAAACATTAGGGAAATACGTCGAGTGGCACATCTTTATAGTACCTAATCTTTGGTAAAATATAGCCCCAATGCATTCGACCAATAGATATCTTATATACACTAGATAGCGCATCTCTTTTAGTAAAATTGAAGCCAAGAATATTCCAGCGGTTACTCCCGTTTGAATAGATAGCGGCCATGTTGGTCGTTCCCACTTGCTAATAAACGTTTAAAAACAAAAATAACTTTCATCATTTGAATAGTTTAAAAACGTATTTGGAATAGGGTTAACTTAATGTTTAAGTTCCCTGTTTAAGAAATAGAAAACATACGAATCTTCTCATTTCATGGGAACGACCTGAGACTGCAATCACGGCTTCAATTTTTGAATTGCAGAATAATTAGATGCACTATCTAGTGTATATAAGATATCTATGATTCGACCTCACAAAGACAGCAATTATCCATAACCTGATATTGCCAAGCCACAAGGACTGATACGCTATTAACATCTCGTATTTTTTAAAAGTTGGAACTTGCCTATAGTTAATTTTTCTGTTGTACTCTCTGCACTCAACTGTTGCCAATGATAGCGATCCCTTTTCAAAGTTCCGAATGTAATTGCCGAAAAATACCCTCAACTGAAACTATTTCCGTTTCAGCAAAATAACTTTGACTAATGAAAAAAAAGCAGAAAAGCAAATCGGGACATGTTGAAGAAAATCAGGCAATGAAGGTGTCGCGACAACCGCGCCTAAATACCGACTGTGAAGCAACTCAAGCGTTGTGCGGATGACATGAATTTGATATTATAACATGCTCTCTAATATCTGGGCAAGACGCTACTGGAAACACGTTTATTTTCTCAATTTTATTAAAATAAAGTCCATCAACACATATTGAACAAAACTTCCTAATCAAAAATAATAAAAAGCACATCACAATAAAAGCACTGATAGAAGCAAAAAATAGCGAGGTTTAGCAAAGACGACGCGACGTCAAAGACGACGTGAAAATGGCGTAAAAATGGCGTAGGCATATCCATAGATGGGCATATCACGCCATTTTCACGTCGTCTTTGACGTCGCGTCGTCTTTGCTAAACCTCGCTAATGTGTCGCAGCACCCGCGGCCTAATAATGCCGACAGTGAGATTTGTGTTGTGTGGGGGTTGGCATATAAAATTTGATATTGAGACTCTCCTTAGGCAATGCGTTCAAAACTTCAAATACGTTCAGCAATTGCCCGAATTATGCCTTACATACAACCGCGGCTTAATAGGCCTACTGGAGCACTGCATGACAATGAAGTTTGGCAATAAATCGACTTATATTCAGAGCAGAATAGTAACCACTCGTATAGAAGTATGCTTGAATATTTTATTTGCTCCCAGACCCAGCATATCCAAATGATTATTTAACAGTATAGAAGAACATATAGATATGAACGGATATAAAGAGACCATCGTTAACTCTTTATTTATTTATTTATGTTAACTATTGGTCCCAGTATATCCAAGTGCTTATTTTGTTAACAAGAGACTATCTTTCCATTCTCGTAAACAGAGTCCTTGTTTTGAATCCGGGTTTTTGTTGAGTTCAATATAAAACTGTATGTTATCCAAATATTAGTATGACGTAATACTGAGAGACAAATGCATGATGGGATTGTTGTGTTGTTGGTTGAACTTCCTCGTGAAAGTAACTTACTGTACAAAACTACTTTTGTAATAAACGTGAAAATAAAGAGTGATTTCATAACAAATACGGTGTTCTAAAGTCATGGCTTCAACAGGTTATGGGCCCAGCAGAGAATCACGCTGGTCAAGGTTGACTTTCGATGGAAACGAAAGCAATTACGAACTGTGGGAAGCGAAATTCCTCGCGCACATGAGGTTATTAAAACTAAAGGATACTATCCTGCCGTCTGAAGAAGAGGCTGACGCAACAAAGAACGAAGAATGCTACGCCGAGCTTATACAGTGTTTGGATGACACCAGTCTGTCATTGGTAATGAGGGATGCTACCGACGATGGCCGAAAGGCTTTACAAATACTCCGAGACCATTATGCAAATCAAGGCAAACCAAGAATCATCACACTCTACACTGAGCTAACGTCACTTGAAAAAGCACTTCACGAGACAGTCACAGATTACTTAATAAGAGCCGAGAAAGCAATAACAGCGCTTAAGAACGCCAGAGAAACGTTAAGCGATGGGCTAATAATTGCTATGATCTTAAAGGGGCTGCCTGATTCATATAAACCGTTCTCGATACATGTGACCAAAGTGCAAGTGAGATAACGTTCGCGAAGTTTAAGAGCATGTTGAGGAGCTTCGAAGAAACGGAAAAGCTCGACACCAAACCGAAAGTTGATCAGGTAATGAAAGCTGAGTTTCCTTCGCAAACAATGACATGTTATGGCTGCGGGAAAAGAGGGCATTTAGTCAGAGAGTGCCCTGCTAAGAGCGAGAAGAAGTGGTGTAACTATCACAAAAGTACAACACACTCAGATGGCACCTGCAGAAGTCAGCAAAAGAGCAAAGACCAAGCCAAACAGGTGTCGGAGAAAGAAAACACCTCTAAAGATGAACATTCATTTGCATTCAAAGTTAACGACGAAGCAACAGGGAAAATCAATCGAATGGGAATGTTGGTTGACACAGGTGCCACTTCTCACATTGTTACTACTGATATTTTAAAGCAAATAGACATGACATTTAAACCATCAAAACATTACATTGAACTGGCTGATGGCACACGAGCCAGTAATATTGCATTGAAACGAGGGGATGCTGAAGTGTTTCTGAAAGATACAAATGGAAAACGTGTGAAAACGGTGCTGAAAAACGCCTTATATATACCATCCTATCCTCAAGATATTTTCTCAGTGAAGGCAGCCACATCAAATGGAGCCGAGCTTCGATTTGCCCAAGATACTGGTGAGCTAACCCTTGAAGATGGTACCATTGTTGAAATTGAAGAACATGGACGGTTGTACTATTTGACTTCTATAGACAGTCATGAGAACGATAGCGTAAGTGAAGTAGATAAAGTAAATCTCTCATATGATATTAACACATGGCATGAAATCCTAGGTCACTGCAATTTTTCAGATATTATAAAACTACAGGGGGTAGTTAAGGTGGCTCGATATAGTTATCACAAAAACCCTGCTCAAGAATCGCGAACTCAAAACCGGGTAACCATTTTTACGCGCGGGTCGCGGAAACTGATTAACAAAATGAAAGAACTTCCAAAATGACCTGACGTGAGCAGTTGCTTGCGCCATATCACGCCATTGCGTGTGTTCTATAGCGTTTTATGACAATTGCTGACGTCATTAGAATTTTCCATTTTCGAAAAACAAGCGCTATATCTCTTTATTTTGTCTGGTGAACTATGTTCAAATTTTGCATGCTCTATTGCACCGCTAAAAACTTTCATTATACAAAAAATAAAAAAATTCTGTAATGCAAAAAAAAATTTATTGAAGAATATGACATTTTCGCATTTTCCAAAAAAATGGCATTACAGAATTTTTTTATATTTTGCTAATCGTTAGCTTTTCGTCCAAGTAAAATAATGCACGAAAAAAAATTGGGGGTCACCATGCTTTTTTTCCAACTATACGAGACGATAGGCCATTTTGGAGTGAATTTCGTACACGTATGTCGTCATAGCAACGAACTATCTGTTACTAAAACTAATATAATTTGAAAGTAAAGTTATCAAAATATATAAAAAAAACAATATCTGTTGAATAAATCCTAAAAATACGTAGTTTAAACAATGTCAAAGTGTTAAACACCTGAAATTTCGAAAACTGCATCGAGCCACCTTAAGGGCATGAAATTCTTAGGTAAAATTGAGTCATCTAAGTTAGGTTGTAATACATGTGTAGAAGGAAAATTTGTAAACAGCAGGAGTAGGATTCCTGATGCAAGATCTCAAAAATCATTGGAGAAAGTGCATGTAGATTTGGCAGGTCCAGTTTCTCCTGTATCAAGAGAGGGGTTTAAGTACTGCATAGCTTTCACTGACGATTTCTCAGGAGCAGTATTTGTTTACTTTCTGAAATGTAAAAGTGACACCTTTGTAGCAACAGAGAAATTTCTAGCAGACATCACTCCTTATGGCAAGGTAAGTTGCATCCGTTCTGACAATGGCTCAGAATTTACAGCTAAGGCGTTTCAAACACTACTAAGGGAGCGTGGCATAAAACATGAAACTTCTGCTCCCTACTCGCCACACCAGAATGGCACCGCTGAAAGGCACTGGCGCACATTGTTCGAAATGGGCAGATGTCTTCTTCTTCAATCAGGGTTACCCAAAACTCTCTGGCCCTATGCAATTCAAACCGCAGCTCACATTAGGAATAGATGTTTTAATAAGAGAACAAAGACAACACCCTACTTTAGCCTTACTGGGAAAGTACCTGATCTTTCTAAAATGTGGATCTTTGGATCTGAATGTTTTGCTTATGAACAGGAGCATAAGAAATTAGACTCAAGATGCAGCAAGGGGGTATTTGTGGGATACGACAAAAATAGCCCTTCTTACCTAGTCTACTACCCAAAAAATGGGAAAATCATGAAACATCGACTCATTAGAAAAGATTCATTCTTAAAATACTAGAGAGATTTGGAATAATAGACTGCAAGCCCAGGTTAACCCCATGTGAGGAACGATTAGAATTTAACTGTGGTGAATTGACCAACGCCAGACAGTATAGAGAAATGATAGGAAGCCTAATTTATGCCATGACCTGTACAAGGCCTGATTTAAGTTGGATTGTAAGCAGACTGTCTCAAACTCTGTCAAACCCCAGAACGGGAGATTTAATTGCTGCCAAACATGTCCTAAGGTATCTAAAGGGTACCGTGGATTATGAACTCTGCTTTAAGAAATCTGATGCTGACTTGCAACTCACTGCTTATAGTGATTCAGATTGGGCCTCTTGCCTGGAAGACAGGTGAAGTACTACAGGTTACTGTTGTACTCTAACTGAAGGAGGACCACTGATTTCATGGAAGTCGAGAAAGCAACCAACGGTTGCCATTTCCACTTGCGAAGCTGAATATGTAGCTTTAGCAAATACAGCCCAAGAGTGTTTGTATCTAACTCAATTGTTAAACGGTATGTATAAGAAAGTACATCAGAGTATGAAGGTAAGTGTTGATAACCAAGGGGCAATTGCACTAAGTAAGAACCCAGTTAACAGACAACTCAATTGTTAAACGGTATGTATAAGAAAGTACATCAGAGTATGAAGGTAAGTGTTGATAACCAAGCAACCAACGGTTGCCATTTCCACTTGCGAAGCTGAATATGTAGCTTTAGCAAATACAGCCCAAGAGTGTTTGTATCTAACTCAATTGTTAAACGGTATGTATAAGAAAGTACATCAGAGTATGAAGGTAAGTGTTGATAACCAAGCGGCAATTGCACTAAGTAAGAACCCAGTTAACAGACAACGTTCTAAGCATATTGACATAAAGTACCACTTTGTACGTGAAATGTATGTTAAAGGCATGATAGATATTGTATATTGTCCCACTCAAGATATGGTAGCTGATATCCTAACAAAGCCACCCACAAAATGTAAACTAGATAATTTTAAAAGTATCGTGTTCGGTTGTTGTAATTAGTTTATATTCTGATAACAAGTGAGGGTGTTGAGTTCAATATAAAACTGTATGTTATCCAAATATATTAGTATGACGTAATACTGAGAGACAAATGCATGATGGGATTGTTGTGTTGTTGGTTGAACTTCCTCGTGAAAGTAACTTATTGTACAAAACTACTTTTGTAATAAATGTGAAAATAAAGAGTGATTTCATAACAAATACGGTGTTCTAAAGTCATGGCTTCAACAGTTTTTTCTATTTTGAGTCCGGGTTTTCAAGATTCAAGTCCGGGTTTTCCCAAAGACGAGTCCGGATTTTATTTGGGTCCGGGTCCGGGTTTTTCTCGAGTCCGGATTTTCTTCCGGTCCGAGTCCGGGTCCGAGTTTCGAAGTATGCCGTTTTAGGGGCTGTTTGCATGATGGAAGGCGGTGATTTTGGTGTATTGAAATATTAGTCACTATGTAAATGAACTTCAAATGGTGGTTAACAGAACTCAAATGTTGTATATAGAGAAGATCGCGTGGTTCAAGAAAGTTATTACGTTTGAACAACCTTTCGTTTATACAGTAGTTAACTATCCATCCATCTAATCCTATCCATCCATCTAATCCATCCATCTCTAGAAAATAATGAAGCTTTTTGCTGACAGGGACGACGTGAAGATACCAACATTGGGGGTCGTCATGTTTTGACCAACTTTTCCTAGAATTTTGACCAAGTAGTAGAAATGTTTCCCGAAAATGTTGTCTACGGGGCGGGGGAGCAAATGTTCAAAAATTTTTCGACCAAAATAAGCAAGGCGTGCAATTGTTCAGTCAGCGCAAACATGACCAAAGCTTAGAAATTGTTACCATTGCGAACGATATCATAACTTTGACAATCTTTTATCGTAAGGGACCGGTCATAAAGTATATGTGCTGGGGAGTGAAGGGTATTCCAAAATTCTACCATAAAATTTGATACCCCCCACAATCTAGGCCAATCACCCTCTCCCCAAAAACATAAAAACTTCTGAGAACATAACTGTTTTGCAAATTATTGCAATCCATTGTCTGTATTGAAATATTTAGCGTAGCCATAGTTAATAAATATAGAGAGTGTTGAACATGATATCTCACGAGTGAGCGCAGAAAACTAGTGAGAAATAAATCTGGTATTTCCAAGCACCCATGTATTTTTCTTCATTATATAAAGGACAGTCTTTGAAAAGCGATAATTTTTACAGAAAAGCGATAATTGAAAAGCAATAATTTTCACATCTATGATTGTGAGATTATCATAAATAATGATTATCACTTTTATAAGTTCTCGCCATCTCTATAAAGCACCGTACTTCATGATATAATAATACTATTTATATGCCCTTGGTGAAAGTCTGGGTCAGATCTAGAAAAAACATTACTCAAAATATTAATACCAATTTTTATACGAACGCGCTCAAATACCAATTCATTAATTAAAAAATTGTGATACAAACAAATTACTCACGAAATTATTTGCTCTCCAGTTAGTTGCAAATTTCTCCTGCGACATTTTGATTGGATATATAAACTTTGCTGTGGGTGGAAAGCGATGTAGGTTTGTGTCAGATGTAGGTTTGTGTCAGGCTGTTTCTAAACTAGAGCCTGATCCCAGGTTAGGATCTCACATATTTGTCGACTTTGGTTATATCAACAGAACGTCGTGACGTATTTCATATCTTTCTCAATATTTAAATCATTCTAAAAGTAAAAGAGCAGGGGAGCCACCCGACGGTAACATAACGTAATCAAAGACTGTTCAGGTTGCAGACATGTCAAACTAATGGGTTCCGATCGAGACACTTTCATAAATACTACTGAGTATATTGTATTACAAAAGTAACATTAACCGCAGTGGTATTATCACACATTATTCTTATGTGTGTGTTATTTAGAATTTTTGCAAATGTCTGTAGGCCAAGAAAGATGGCTAACATTTCCAGGTAGTTAATGTGCTTTTATGTTGTGGCTCCTCCTGTGTCAAATTCTGAAAGGAGTTTTCAACATGACACTCCCACCAGTGCAATTCCGTTTTTGCACTCTGTGATGGTGCCATTGTCGCAGCAAAATCCCCTTTTGCTTCTTTTAGGGCCTGGGTATTATCCTTAGCCAACTCCCTGTAGTACAAGGGCCCGTACATAAACCCTGGGAAGCTTGCCACTATTTTACCAGTAATTCTCGCAATCTCTCGTACTGTTTGTGAGAGGGTTTAAGAATTGATTTAATGGGGTGTATCACAAACCCTAAATTGTCAAGCAACATGAATGTATCAAGGACAGAGACAACACATTTGTTACAAGTCTGACCTTGTAGGTGGCCCATATAGAGTGTAAAGTTGCTAATGCAGGTTTCAGTATGTTTGTAAATATCCTAGGTGCACCTGAAAGCCCATTGGGCAAACATGTAAAACAAACATGGTAAATTTCTCCCTTCCAGATGAAATGTAAATATTTTCGGTCTGATGCTTTGATGGGTATTGAGTAATATACATTCTTTAAATCCAAGGATGCCATAAAGCAGTCTTTTGTAACTAGTTTAGTTATAACATAAATAGAATCCGTCTTAAAATGATGATATACTGTTTCGTTAAACTTTTTCAAATTTAGAACGAGACGGTGTGACCCATCAGGTTTTGGCCTCAAAAAATGCTAGAAATAAATTGTGTTGTTTCAGGTTGTACTTTGTCTACAACCCCGTTACCAACTAACTTTGATATTTCTGCATCACGTATTTGGTATTTATGTGGGTAAAACTTTTGACCTGGTAGGTTAAGTTGCACAAGTGTCTCACAACTCATGTTATATTTGATAAAATTTCGTTGTCCTGAGTTATTTTAGTCCAGGCTGTAAAATGTTCAGCCACTTGACCAGCCTTAAAGCTAGTGCATAATTTCTGCAAATATGTCAGAATAGCAGGTATATATTTTTCAAATTCACTTACCGATTTTCGGATTTGTTTGAGAAGTTCTGTCACTTCTTCTCTCGCCCCCCCCCCCTCCCCCCTCCAGGGTTTTTTCTTTTGATTGTTCTTGCCCTGGCCCGGCCAAAAATCCTGCTTATTTTTCAAGGCAGGTTTTTTGTTTGCAGAGTAAGTGTACTGCTTGGGGGGATAACTTTTCATAGAAAAACTGAGGGAACTAGCCTCTTTGGCATTCTTTAATTTTTTTGCCAAATCATTTCCAAACAGTAGTTTACTGTTTGGCTGGTCTTCCAGTGAACATATGGCCGAGTGTTCCTGTACGTTTAAGGGCAGGCTTTATTTGTTCTTTTCTGACCAGAGACAAGTTAGTGTGGGTATGTGCTAAAATGGCTACAGTATCTACTAAGCTTGCCAACAACTGAGAGTTATCCCTGTTAGGAGTTTCCACTAACATATTTGTTGTTTGTAGAGCTGCAAATGTTGCTTTGAGAACTGACTGCTGTAAATTATACAGTTGAATATCTGTTCTCTTGCCAGGGGCGCCGGAAGCAACGTGAAGCGGCGGGGGCAGCCATTTCAAAAGGGCACTTGCTTCTCAGCCATCATTTTTCTGGGCAACAATATTTGTTAAAACTTTACTGTATGGATACTCGATTCCTTCTGGCTATTATCGGTCGCAAACTTCGACATTAATTTGAACAATTTTATTCGCTGCACCGTACTAAAAGCGCAAATAAAATCAGTAAACGGACGTATATTGCTTGATTTAGCATCTGGGGCGTAAAAACCGGGGAGGGGAGGGGACCAAGCTTCCAAGTTTTCAGAAAACCTAAAAACTGCCCTTTTTTCGGTGGCAAAGTGCCCTTTGCATTCATGAAAAATTTTGTTCAGAATGCATTTTTGACTCACGGATATTGCAAAGCAACATCTATGAGTCTTTGTGGTTACTTGATTGTGGGCCAGTTAATTAAACAATGACTAATATGCTTGGCGCGCACTCTTTGCCTGTGAATCGGGCCTTTCAGAACCGGAAACCGAGCTGGAGCACGACAAATGGCAAAATTAGCACGATGCTCGTTTGCAAAAAAACCCTGCAAACTGCTTTTTAAAGGACTAAAATTCTTTCTGCCACTTTTATTTGATTTCACCTGTGAGTCGGCCTCAACGACATTTGATTTCAATGTGACTGCATTTATTTTTCCTTCCCTCCCACCTCCCCCGCCGGCACAATTTACGGGAAACATTTTCAGGTGCTATTTTCGTTCCAAAAGTGCCCCTCGAAACCGGTTCCCTCCGACTTTTTGGTGCTTCCTACGCCCCTGTAACTAATATTAATTAATTTTACTACAACTAGTTAAAAATTAAAAATGAATTAAAAATATGCTGTACGTACTGTTCAATCTGCGCATGGGCACAAACGAAGCTTTCTTTATTATTAAACCAACAGTTTATTTAAGATTGCATTTCATTTCTTGAAAAACTTGATTGTGGTGTCTTGATAATTTATTATACTCCAGAATCATGAAAATATAAATAGTTTTCGAATAAAATTCTATATTTTTGATACCGAAATGTAAACAAATCCTTTGTTTTAATGTTTAGATACGGACTGTACCGCACTTTTAAACATTGATTAAAAATAGTTCTAAACTCCAATTTTTGTGAATAATGCGCAAATTTCGAGGTGCAGTTCTGGCAAAAAAAGGCAACCTTTGCCCCCGTGCTGCCCCCGCAATGTTTGGGCAGCGGGGGCAGTTGCCCCCGCTGCCCCCGTGGGTCCGGCGCCCCTGTCTCTTGCTCTTTGAACCTAACAACTGCCATATTTCCGGGTTGTCTTTTTTGCATGTCATACCCGGGACAGTTTTCAGGACGAGTATATTTCTCTAGTATACTCTTCAATTTTTCAGGGTTGAGTTGTTTACCCAAACGTTTTAATGCTATATCAGCTCATTTTTGCGATATGGTTGGCCCTGTGGATTCGTCATCCATCTAGGCCTTTCGCAAGATCATTTGTTAGAGGTGTTCGGCTTCAGTGTCAGGTTCACTTTCCCGCTCTTTTTCAGAGCTTCCTAAAAACTGTGTTAATTCATCTTCGCTTTCGCCAGCATGAATGCTTATGGCATCAGGAGACTGTTCGCGACGTTGTCGCTTGCCTCTAGACTTGAAGGACGATGTTTCTGATTCTGATTCGTCCCCGCCGGCAGCGTCGTCTTCACGCTCGGCTGCCGTTTGTTTCTTGCCCGTTGGGCGTTCGCCTTATGAAGGCTTGTTAGCTTTTTCAGCTATTAATATTTCGAACAGGTCTGCCATTTTACCCATTGTGGTATTTATATTAGCGAGAGCTTGCTGAATATCAGGTTTTGGCTCCTCTGGATGTTTCCTTGACGCTTCAGTGATCGCCTGATCCGGTGCTTCGGTCGAAGCAAGGCCGTGCGAATGCGATCCTTCTAGCCTGCGAACAGGCTCACTGGGAGAAAGGTGAGCCTGCACGGAACCATGCGTTTTATTCAATCATCCCCTTTTCGCATCTGCTAAACGCTAACCAATCAGCGTCGACTGCGATAAATAAACTGTCAACTGTCAAATTGACGCAAGGCGTGTACATTGTGCAACATGAACAATAATACAAAGCATTAGCGGGCCGCACAATATATTACTCGGAAAAATATAGAATTCTTCAAATATTAAATAGATATCAATACACATACAAATATAAAGCCGAATAAACTACCATTGGCTTTGAATGTACAGTAATACTTGTACTATGTGCGACTGAAAGAACAATGTTCTGAATATTTTGAAGCTATTATACTAAAATACGGTCAGATAGATTGGGATTTGGAATACCGAATACGTTTAAAATTTTACTAACTGTGGTCTAAATAAATGATAAATGAGCATGTATTTATTAATTTCTTCGAAATCACGAGTGTGCCAATAGTGGAAGCCGTATCGACGACGAAATTGTCAGCAGTTAATATACAGTAAATAGTACAACGTTTAATGTACGATATATATTTATCTAAATCACGGCATGCCAGCGAGGATCAACAATATAATTATTCGTACATATTTGGGTATCTTTTGTATGCCTTCGCTTGCTGACTTGCTCACTAATGAGAATAATCCGTGAAGCCACGACGCAGGGCATTTTTTAAGAATTCGTCAGTGGGGGGGGGCATCTACAAAAAGGGACCATACTATACCGAGTGTGGAGCAATGATAGATGGTTTGTTGGTAACATAAAGTTTGGTGTGGTATCGCATTTAATAGTAGGGGGGGGGGAGCAGGGCCGTAGGAAGCTCTTTTCGTTTGGGGGGGGGGACTGAAAGCGAGGGCCGAAGGCCCGAGGAAATTTTTAAATTTAGAGTCTCTGAAATGCCATTTCCTGGACTTTGGAGAAGATTTGACAGATTTCTGATTGTCAGAAAACAGCGTTTTTAGTATGTGGAAATTTAGAATTCAGTAGTACGAAATGGGCGAAGGTGTATTTAATTAACAATATATTGGATAATATACCCTGGAGAGGGTCTGGGGTTTTCTCTCCCAGAAAAGTTTTGTATTTTTCTACCCCTATGACTGAAATTCCCTGCATTTTCTGAAACAGATTTTTGGATATACAGCATTACATTATGCTGTAGATAGACTGAACCTTCAGTTAAGTACTTGCATAGTATGTTTACTGATGTAGATACCACAACTTGGCCGTCACTTAGGGAGCCAGCTTGATAAACTTAGAGTTCCCGACTCCCACAAAGCGCTACCATGGTTGGCACAGAGCGAAAAATTTTTTGAAAATTTTGCGTCTCTAAATCGTCGGAAATGACATTTTCAAAGTCTTGTATACGTTTTTTGTTAGGCCCTTTCATTAATTCGTTCATTATGATTTGCGAGTCTATGATATCCGCGAGTCATGATGGATTATTACGAGAAATGTTATCAAAATATCGATTACAGATATTTGATTATATGTATATATGATTTCAAATACTTCTAGTTTCGAAATCAAATTGTTTTTTTTTTGGTGGGGGTGGGGGGCAAAATTATCCCCCCTTATAAAACACTTGGTTGAGGGCCTGTTGCCCCCTGCGGTCACTAACTTGTCCAACAACTCAAATCTATAAGGTCTGGGAAATGCAATCCACTGCCTGGGAAATGTTTAAAATCTAAGGTATTTATTAAACATAAAAGACAGGACATAAGATTCACAAAGCAAATTTCAGTTACTAGAATATCAAACCTTCCTTCTAAATTCCATGTTTTGCTTATATTTTAGAGAAAAGGGACTTTGACTGGGGGGGCCAAAATGGTTGAGTGGGGGGGCCACCATGGGGGCTGGGGGGGCTTTGGCCCCCCCAGTTATATAGTTAAAAAATGCCCTGCCACGACGACCTCAAAATGTACTATACTATAGTCTGATGTCAATCCGAAGACGAAGTTCAGAATACTGTTATAGTTTCGTATATTGGATTTAAGCGATAGATTCAAGTCATTTGAATCTATCAAGACTTTTTCGCTGTGATGCTTTGCTATTGCTTTTGGTTTCCATTTCTAGTTTTATTTGTTCGATAGTCCTATAATATATAATATTAAAATGAATAAAGTTCAAATTCTTCAAAATGCTGTTGTTGACATTTGCTATTTTTAGTAATTTTGTCAACGAGTGTAAGCCAATCAGAAGCCTGCGTTTCTATACGAACGCCACTACCAAGAAAACCTATAGTTCCGTGCAGGCCCTCTATTCTTCGCGCCGCCCGCAACCCAGGGCCTGTTCGCAGGCTACGATCCTTCTTGATCCATGAATGAAATGTAGTCTAATGTCGGCAAATAAAGCGGCTAGATTAACAAATATTTGGAAGTTATGATACTTATGTCTGACACCTTCTTCTCGCAAAGATTAAAAAGGATTTTTTCAGAGAATACTCGATTTGTTGTTTACTTTCAGAACGCTAAGCACTGATCAGCAATGCGCATGCGCATCTCATGGGACTCCTTCGTGACAGGGACTGATGACAAGATAGAATACCTGCCTCGTACCCAGGCGTCTCTTTGTAAAAAACAGTGATGCGCATATGACGAGTTTACATGAAGTATTGTAGTGGGGAGAAGGGGCTGATGGGAAGAGTGCACCCTTCCCAACAGCCCCTTCGCGCGTCGCATGCCTGAAGTACTTCATGTATAATTATTTAAAGCGCCTGGGTACGAGGCAGATAGAATACTATTGTTGTCGAATTGACCATTTGCGTAATAGACTAAATTTTGAACTAAACAAGTCTAGACAAAAATTTCATCACAGCTTGAAGGAGCATCACAAAATTAGTAATATTCCAAAGTTTCGTTTCAAAATGTTGTAAAATGCGGAAAATATAGCCTTGCGAAATTTGCAATTTTCAAACCCTTCGAGGCTGTCAATTTCCGGTTTGTAATCTAAAATGACTGAAAATTGCAAATTTTGCAAGGCTATATTTTCCGCATTTTACAACATTTTGCAACGAAACTTTGGAATATTACTAATTTTGTGATGCTCTTTCAAGCTGTAATGAAATTTTTGTTGAGATCAAAATTTAGTCTATTACGCAAATAGTCAATTGAATTTGTCCTAAAGGCCGTGGTTACACCAAGTACTTCGGCGCGACACCAAGTGGACGCTGACCAGGATTATTCACAAAAACAAAAATACAAAATGAAAGAAATTTGCTATTTTGCTTGATATATGGAGATAATTTTTCGGTGTTTTCGGACTCAAGCGATGCCTTGAAATGTTTTTGCCAGTATTTGAAGAACTCTCCTTATCAAATTATACGGAACTTACGGAATAGTCTTGGAAATTTCAGGTATTAAAATGTAGATGAGTAGTTATACTTTATATATAAAACTTTGGCCGTTTATAAATTGTTGTGTTTATTTATTTATTATACACAACACAAAAAGAAAGTTCCCCTCTAAATATATCATCAGCAGTTCTAAATAGATGATTACGTTACAATCAAACCTTTAGACCTATGGTAGTTAGCTTAATGCTGTTTGAAGGAAGTTAGGTCACCAGTCCATAGTGGAAAGTTTGCCCTCGCTGCGGAAGACGTCTAGGCTACCGCAAGCGCAGTTAAACCAGACCTGCCAACATTTGAGTAGCAGAAATAGTGAGTTGCTATCTAAAAAGTCGTGAGATTGACTGAAAATCGTGAGACTTAGAAATTTTCAGGTCTGCTCGTTAATTAATATGAGCAGGGTTAACTTTAACAACACTAGAAAATAATCAATAGATATTCAATCTTATGATAGTATGCATTTATATTTTGTTAATATAACCGTAAATGCAAGGCTTATTAAAAATAGGCTGTTTTTTCTTTATCGCTTTAGTAGTGCACCTATCAATGTTAAGCCCCAGAGGGGGGAGGTGGGGCATATATGGTGGATTTGACTTTTTGTGCAAATTTTCGATCAATGTGATCAAATTCCCCACTGTGGGGCTGGAAATCTAAGTCAAAAGGGAAAGGATTTTCAGCATATTTTGAAGCGCATTTCCTTGGAAATTGCCGTATTCTTAGGATTTTTTAGAAATAAGGCAATTTCCTTCACATTTCCTTCAATCTTCCGAAATTTCCTTCAAATTTCCTTCAGATTCGAATTTCCTGATAATTTCCTTCAATTAGTTAAAATTTCCTTCGAAAAGGAAATTTCCTTCAAAATGGAAGCGAAGTCATTCATCCCAGGCTTTAAAACATGCTCTTCTTTCCGGTCACAACTTCCGGTTTCAAATATTCTCTCCTGATTGCTGAGTTCAAATATCCCCACCCTCGGGACGAAAATAAGGATCAAATTCCCGAGGGTGGGGAGTGAACCGGATTTTATTGATTAAATCGTGAGACTTGGCAGGTCTGGTTAAACTTAAGTCATCAAATGTATGGCTCTCCTTCTATGGTGGCTTTAGGTACCGCAATTGTCATACTATACAGACTGGTTTCCAGTTGACCCTGCCACGCTGTATGGCAGAGCGATAAAGTCTGGGAAATAGACTGCATATACTATATCAGTTAATTGTCCGAGATTGAGAGATAACTTTGGCAAACCTATACTAGCTGTAACCCTCATGAACCAAAAGAAGCCACAGTATGCAGTTGTGTGCCTTGTTAAACAGTATATACGGTGTATTAGCCATAATACATGCCGTACAATGACACTGTAACAATCCACTAGGTGAATGCAACAATCATGAAATCCTAACAAGTCAAAATTATATAAAAATTACATAACAAATATCAAACGTTGCAGTTGTTTCATATTCCACTTCAGTTCCCGAGCTGGTTTAAAAATATAAACCCGAGCTGGTTTAAGAATATAAACACTCGTTCTCGTTCATACATAGTCAGTCGAAATATACAGTCTATATAGCTGAGCTCAGCAAACTTCAAAGCGTCCATGATGAGCAGACCTTTCTTATAATGACGTCAAAAGCGGAAAACTAATTTATGCAATGTCCCCAGGGTGTTAGCCAGAAGTAAAAAAAAATCCGCGTTTACCTAAAATTGGGAAATTTATTGTTGCCCGAAGCCGAACATTTCTTTGTGGGTCTGGGGGCATGGGGTTGCCCTCTCGATTTTTAAAATTTTTCTGTCTTTGAAATGGCATTTCCCACATTTTGGGAATAATTTTGAGCAAATGTACTGTAGTTATAAACATGTTTTTAATGGCATATTAACAACATTGAATTTCTATAACTTTTTTTTGGTTGACCCCAATTGGGAAATTGTGACCTCAAGGTACAGTAATTGGGAAAATGGCGTTTAACGTGGAATTTTTGACTGTATAGCTAACACCCTGACCAGTCCCACTGGACAATGCAAGTCATTGGCGAGCCAATACATTTCATAAAAACATCATTTGCATTGCGAATTGTAGCTAAAAATGTCCCTTGGAACATCGCTTTATAAGTGTTTTCCCACGTTTGACGTAATTATAAGAAAGGTCTATTATGTGATATCGTGATTTATATGTAAGATGCGTTGCTAAATGCATCATTTGACTTTTGTTTACTTTTTAAAATATGAATGAGTGATATCACAATGCAGGTTCAGTAAAATTAAACAGATAAGAAGACTATATATGGCAACGTTTGCACACATATCTAAGTACTGTATATTATCTTAATTAAATCCCGAATCCAAGGAGTGCAAGGATTACCTTACATGGGCCGACATTTCTAATTTCAATGTGACATGTTTGGCTATTTCCCGCTCTGGAGGTGTTTGGAAATCAGACATTTTCAGGCATATACTAAAGAACACATTTGCTAATTAAAATACCACAAAACTCTACCGACTACCGCATGCGGAATTTTCACAGTTGGCCTGCCACAATAAACCACCACAGTAGCACCTTTTCATATTGACCTGCTGCAGGAGATTTCCGGCTAAAGTGACAAACTTTCCAGTAAGGGGTCACCTAACCTCAATTGAATACAGAAATACCCAATTTCAAAAATTAACGAGAGTTAGAATGACTTTATTTAAATTTCACAACAACAGTTATGTCAGGAGGCATTGTCTCCTCATGGTGTTGAGGAGTCTGCTCACCTGCCGTTGAGATATAGCCATCTATTTCTCCTGCAACAATTGAGCCAAGTCTGCCTGCGTGCAGTATTCTTTGAATTGGTGATAGGCATACCGCTTTTGCTGGTCTCGCAGATACTCAATTTGGTTGAGATCTGTTAAGTTAGCAGGTGACATGATCTGTTAAGTTCGCAGGTGACATCATTCTTTTTCTGAGGAGACGATGCTGAATTAAGTTATTGAAAAGCATGGTTGACGTGGTGGTTATACACCCATTATTAAAGCATTGACATGAAACATTACTGTTGTTGTGAAAATTAAATAAAGTCATTCTTGTTAATTTTGAAATTGGCTATTTTTGTATTCAATGGAGACTAAGTCATTCTTTAAAGCATGAATGACCCCATCCTTCAAACAGCATGAACCTAACTTGCATAGGTCTATTCAGTGCTAGCTGTGATTATCAGGTAATCATTTAATATTTAGAATTTATGAGGAAACTTTCTTTTTGTGCAGTGTTTATTTATTTATTTAGCTTTGCCAACTAGGACAGGGTCACCACAACAGCATATGCCAATTACTGTGGCCCTTTTACCTAACCCACCCTGTCAACTTTTCCTGTGGGAGGAAACCGGAATACCTGGAGAAAACCCAAGACTTTCAGCAGAGCGTTGACTTTTGCTCTTTTTGCATGAGGACTGGAGTCCATGGAATCGCATTGAGAAGGTTCTCACTGAGGCTTGAACCTGCGGCCTTAAGGAGTGAAAGGCGAGTGCGCTAACCACTTTCTCATTGAAGCCCCATATAGGTCAAATTAAATATACCGGCGGTACTCATGTAAGTTTGTGCAAGAAAGACGTGAATATGTCTGGGAGGAGAGAATTTGTAGGTCTTTTCCCTGAAATATACTCTTGAAAACTTGTGGTGAATCATTGTCAAATGCCCCTCGAGAGTTAGAGGAAAACTACAAAGATATGTTACAGTATAATCTGCTCATATAATACAGTAGCATAAATTGTAAATTCGGAATGCTATAAATTGGCTAAGAACTGTTTTCACTTGACATAATAACTCGATGTCAATGTGGAAATTTCCAGTCGCTTTTGGATTCAATTGTACAGTAATCTCATTCATTATTTTCTCTTTTCTTATTATTTATTTCCTAGTCTATTAACTTATATATTAACACGGTTAATATTATTATTAGATTAAAAGTTAACAAGATTAATATTATTCATGAAATAACCGCGATTTTCCTGAAGGAGACTAGTAACAAGAATGTCAAAGCGCCCAACTCTGGGGAGCTTCCTTGATATCAAATGAAATAAAATCCCAGAAGCAGGAAAATCAGGTCAATTTCCCATACCTAGACTTGCTCCAACTCTCTCTTTCATTGTCATGTAGTATCGATCCACTATAGTGTACATTACATGACGTAGTACGGAGGGGCGGAGCGAGAAAGAGAGACTTGTCAATCTCGGTTCAAAACCATAGACGGATTTTCATATTTTTTACTGGGGTGGTGCCAGAAATTTTAGGGGGGTGAGCCGTGAGCAGGAGACTGAAGCAACACAAAGTGTCGCCAAACCCCAGTAAGGTCTATATTCTAGGGGTGGAGCACTAGAGGCGCGAGGGTGAGTCTAGAGAGCAGAAAACAAAGTATCCCAGGAAAAATTTGAAATAAATCATGATTTCTAGCTGCGAAAAAAAAGTTGTCAATTTGTCATATCAATGGATTTGGCATGTCCGATTGTCTGTTGAGACTTGAGAGAGTTAAAAACTTAAAGTTAAATGAACCTGTAAAAGTGTAAACCCAATAGGCCAATAGAAAATATGCTTTTACTTTTATAAAGTCATTGACATTGTGTTGTTTGAATTCGAGTACAATTTATGATGCTTAACTCCGATGTAAATAATATTTGGGGCGTAAGGATTAAATCTAGGCAAGTCTATTTCCTAAAAGAATTAAAAACTAAAAATAATGTTCGTACAAATTCCAAACGTTCCTTGCGTGCAAGCAATTCGCATGACAAGGCACTGTAAACTCTATTCAGGGGAGATAATAGAGTTTCAAAACTTTACAATTTCTCCAATAAACCAGTGAATGCAAGCGAGGAGCAATTAGTTTCAGAGTGTTGCACTTTTTCTGTTCGAGTGTACTCCTACGTTTATTTTGTATCATCAACACTCTGCACATCGGAGTGGACTATTTAATTATTTATTTATTATGCCAAATATTGGGGGGGGGGGGGGGGGGGTTGAAAATTTTTTTTGAGGGGTGGAATTTGGTTGGGGACATAGTAATATTGGGTACCCCCCCCGCACCCCCCCCCCCCCCCCCCCCCAGAAAATCCGTCTATGTTCAAAACTGAACCGAAAATGCAAGACTTGCTTTAATTGTTTTCTGTCAGTGTTTATATGTATTTATCTAGTACAGTGTAAATGACATGAGTTCCATTATAGTAAATAATACAGAAAGAAATTGAAGGAAAACAATTAAAACAAATCTTGCATTTTCGGTTCAGTTTTGAACCGAGATTTTCCGAAGTTGACGAGTCTCTCTTTCTCGCTCCGCTTCGATATCAATGTAATCTAATAATCAGTAATTACATTGATATCGAAGGAACTAGATTCTGTTCCGAAATATCACATACTCGAACCGATCTGACCGCGTAGTTCAGTTGGCAGAGCATTGGGCTAGTATTCCAAAGGTCATAGGTTCGATTCCCACTGTTGTCAGGCATATTGTTCAAGCTTGCCCGGTGTGGATATCAGGGGTGGAAAATTTTTTTTTCTTTCTGGGAACCTAGGTCAAAGGCTAAAAATTTTCTGTGAAATTTGCAATGTTACAATTACAGAGGTGACAAAACAAATGCATAATTATTGTATTATTTGTACTTTAATAATAATGGGCTTTATGCTGGTTTTCATATGCTTGTGCATCTCAATGGTTGTCTGTAAATATATCATAGTCTGAGTGAGTGTCTGTATTAAATTAATTTATTATACTTAAATTTAATGTACTGTATTATTTTAATTTATTATTATTTATTATAGTACTGGGTGGCACACAAAAAAGTTGCCCGGTGCGATTGAACTAAAAGAGCTATTACATGTGAACTACGTGTATTGCATTCAGTATTGTCTAACTTAAATTTTAATATACGCCCTGTGCATTTTTGTGCAATATTGACCAACAGAGCTATGTTTAAACTTGAGTAACCATTTTTGAAAGGGTTGAGAATTAGCCAGAAACGGTCTATCAAATATGAATACAGCAATAACTAGACTTTCCAAAGTTCTTTCCAGGCCCTTCTATGGCGCGCTTCACTTCCTCTGTGGAAAGGACTTTTGTCACTTGCAGCGCGCCAAATATCACCGGTGGAAAAATCCACCGGTGACGTCATTGTTCACATTGAAGGTCGAAGCGGTTATATTATCGGTCATTATCGAAGGAGTCTAACAATATTATATTCTCAGGCTCTTTGTTGAACAAATGTGTATTATTGAAGCAAACAGAGTAAACAATGTAATTACAATTTTGTAGAACACAAAAACCATGTAAAAATATACAAACAGACATTACATTGAGTATAAAGTACAGGGTGTAGAAATAAACTTTAATACTGCCACCGAAGATGCATCTGATGATTCTAAAATTTCCTCACTAGTTTCGGGTTTAGTTTGGGTTTCTTGATCTCGATTACTGATTATTACAGATTCGCTTGCTGAGAAAACAACGCGTATTTTTACTGGATTTTGAACTCTAGCGACGTCTTCTAGTTGATCACAATCGCCGCCTCTCTGCTTCTTGGTTACAGTTGTCTGATTCTTTTCAATTTATAGATTAACTTCTACTAGCTATACGTTAATTAAATCGCTGGCGAACTGAGTCAGACTATTCTTGTCGACATAATTACGGCACACATTGTTTAATAGACAAACAACTGTGAACTGTGAAGCTTCAATAAGTTTTAACATGCACTTGTTTCAGCGTTGATACATTGAACAGCTTTCGGCGCTTACTTAACTTGGGTCAGTTATTTCGTTTCCACACTTGGTGCAAACTGTTTCATTCGACTACCAAGAAATACAATTCTAGAGAATGTTTTTGTTTTTGTAGACCCATTGTCGGCGCGGTGAAGTAATTGTATGAAATGTACACACCCTTTTAATATGTCAAAATTATTCGCGCCGGTATAACCTCACAAGCATTATTTACCCTTACATATCGACACTCTTTGGTCATTCATTAAATGAGGCATATTTATAAAAAAAACACGGGACGTTTCTTTCTTGGAACATTAGAATTTGATTTCCATGCAGGGTCATTGAATATTTAGAATAAATCTTTTAATCAAAATCGCATTATAAGTTAATTTTCATGCATTCACAAAGACCTTAAAACAAAAATAAAAGAGCACATCCATCCAATAAACATTTATAATTTAAACTTCATTTCATTGAAACGAATATTTACAATAAAATGGTAATGGTTATCAAATTAGTTTAACAGGCTGTTTTTAGCTAATTCTCGACACTTCCCAAAATGTTTATTCAAGTTTAAATGCAGCTCTCTCTGTCAATATGGCACGAAAATGCACTGGGTGTATATAAAAAATTAAGTTAGACAATACTGAATACAGTGCACATAGTTTAGGTGTTATAGTTCTTTTAGTTTTTAAGTTAAAATAAATCAAACAGGCCATTTTTTGTGCCGCCCGGTAGTATTATAGCAGTATAATAATAGCATTATAGCGCTGGGACTTGTTTACTATTTAATTTGCATTTTATTGGAGACTTTGCAGAGCATATATTTACCATTTTACCTCATTATGTTGGCAGGGGTGAGTAACAGAATTAATTTCTGTCAAATATTTAAAAGGCTGCTGATGTTAGTGTGTACACTGTACAGTGCAAATAAAGTAGAATAGTTGTAACTTGTAAGTTGAGTAAACAGGGTTATCTCAAAATGTTGAAATATTTTCTGGAAAATTTTCTGTGAAACTCTCAACTCAAAAACATTTCTGGGAACTAGGTTCCCAGGTTCCGATACTTTTTCCACCCCTGGTGGATATACAGTACACTCAGAGTAACATCACAAGCATCTGTAATTAATTAGTTAACCTGTTCAGTACATGCAGCGCTCTCCCCTTGACAAGTAAAATTATCTGGCATTAGGCAGAGTAAAATACTTTATTAATACAGTAGAGAGCATTAGGGTGAAATGCAACTTAATTTATTAACATACGACCCATGCATGGGCGGTCCTAAACTAATTACTGCCCGGGACTGCCCTAGAACAGCCCGGGTAAACATGACGTTATTTATTACATGGTAAGGCAGTGTGATCTTGTTTTAAATGTAATTACTGATTATTAGATTACATTGATATCGAAGGAACTAGATTCTGTTCCGAAATATCACATACTCGAACCGATCTGACCGCGTAGCTCAGTTGGCAGAGCATTGGGCTAGTATTCCAAAGGTCGTAGGTTCGATTCCCACCGTGTTCAGGCATATTTTTCAAGCTTGCATGCCCGGTGTGGATATACACTCAGAGTAACATCACAAGCATCATATTCACCTGAGTACATTACACCAGCACAGAAAATTCATTACTAATTAATTACAGGTTAACAAGTTAATGGTACTTAACCAGGGCAATGTTGTGGTCAGTAGAAGTACTGTTTATAACCGGAGTGTGTGCCAAGATGATTTCATCCTCTGTTTACGTGTGGCTTTTGAGATGACCTGGCTTGCCAAAACAAATAAACGCCTGGTCTCACCACTTTAAATAGTATGGTATAAATTTATATAAACCCTCACAGTTATAGTCCATGGAATTGCATGCACAAACAAGACAATTGAGATTTGAGATTGAAATCTGTGGGGAAAATCTTATTTACAACAATATATATTTGCATGAACAGGCAATAACACTCAGCTTAGGTGAGCCAGCCTGGGTCAATGTGTTTATATGGGAAATTCCCAACCCGGTTAAATTACATGGGAACAAAGCTCTGGCTAAGCGACATCCTGCCTCGACTGTCTTAAGATCCTCTAAGTCCATAACTATGTCCCATGATGCAAGCAAGGCCGAGAATGCTGAAGCCTACTGTACATGCAGGCCCGGGCCTTCAAGAGGCCTGTGATTTTCAGATGATGCACTTTTTATTAGAATTGTTATTATTTTCTGTCCTTAACAATGAGATATTGATATAGCAGCTACGTAATCCAAAAACTGCAAGTTCCTTGGTTTTCATGAGCAATGTTCATGCAGGCACTCATGAATTTAATTTAACTGAGCAATGTTCAGTATTCATGAAGTACTGCCATATTTAGTGCATCCCCTCTGACCTCAATAAAAATAAAGGAATGGGATTATCGCTGACGTGGACAAGAGGCTGAACTTCACTGAATTCCAAAGGATACAGAAATTTATGAGCCCTGTTGCATGTACATGTTCGTTATTGTTGTCTAAATCATCAGAACTTGCATGGGAATATACAGTATCATTCAGTGGGAAGGCTCACAAATTTTACCCAGCTTACAAGCTAATACATTTTACTATTATCAGAAGTACAGTACATAACCCTCCTACTCTGGAGAAGAGAAATTTCCTCTGCTTGGAGAGTCTGGAACAACAAGAGATCCCAGAGAGGGACGATTGAGGATATTTGAAGTGTTTTAAAGAATCATTACCTGATCACCGCTTGAGCCCAAATTCGTGAATGGACATTACTTCTGAGGGACAATTAATGTACATCACATTCTCCTACAGTAGGGTTTGATTTGACTATCATATCACTAATTCTGGTGGTTTCGAAAAATTAGTACTAGAATCATGTTCAAACCCCTTGAAAAGTGCCCTACTGTCATTATCACTACATTTGGCCTCATTTCGGCGTCCTGGGAACAACCTATTGAGTAGAACTACAAGATTTGCGCATCAGTACAGCTTTGCAGTAGTGCACAAGTCGCAAGTAGACTGTGCATTTATTTGACACTGCAAATGTAAATGTACATAAAATGATTAAATAAAGATGAATTTTATTCATCACTCATTTCACAGATTGCAAACTGGGATAGGAATCCATTACAGAAAATGTGGGTCATGAAATAGATTTATTCAACATCGCTGAAGGTACGTTTACACGCTGCGATTTATCGTATGCGATTCATATTCTGACGTATGAAATTGCTGTTGATGCCACAGTTCCTGCCCATTTAGTTTATGGAGAAATTTGAAATGCAACCACTTTACGCGTGCTTATAATTCCATTACATACGATAGGACACGAGTCGTACACAACCGATCGCAACCTGTAAACGTACCTTTACTCAACTACTCGATGTTAGTGGGACTGAACTGGACATATGTATGCTACGACCTTGGGGTGACTCGTTACAACACTAGGCTCACGCCTGTTGTTTTTTTATAGATATAGAGTGTGGCAGAATGGCGTATGCGAAAGAAAGTGGGTTTCATTTTCGAGAGATAAAAGGGAATTTATTCAGCTGTGAAAAAGACACATCTCTGGCTCACTGCATCAGCGCTGATGTACATATGGGGAAAGGAATTGCAGCGACCTTTAAAAAGATGTTTGGAGGAGTCGATGAACTTCGCAGGCAAGGTACAGTAATTGGCCCTTTTTTGTATGTCGCCATTTCAGCACAATATCGCCTTCAACCTCGTATCCAGACTATTTTCTCTCGTGCTCTGGTGTCACGGCCACCTCCCAAAAAGACCTGGGTACGAGGATTTATCGCCTTTTGGAATTCCACTTTGAGTGTTAATACCGCTGCGTATTAATGACAGATGATTTTATTTGGCGTGTGTGTTTATAATGCAGCTATAGTGTGCCTGAATAAGTGATAGAGCTGTAAGACATCGGTTCAGTTTCGCATTGAACAAATATATATAGACACGCCTATAAAGTGGTTGATGTCATTTCCACGCACAGAAAATGTTCTGAAACATTATTAAAATTGAAAATTTTCAACTTCAAAATTTTTAACCGACAGAAAATTTGTGTCGGCCGATCACATTTTACAAAATTTTCTTTCGGAAAATTTTCCTGAATGGAAATGGGTCTCTCAAGTTTTTATTTGACGGCCGATGGAAGCGTTAGTGGTAGCAGAGAAATAAAAAACAATTTGACGTTTGTCATTTGAACACTTCGACGATACCATTAGCCTGCGTAGCAGGCGCTATTTAGGGGGAGGGCGAGGGTGGGAGAAGCTAGGGAAGGAATGCGAAGGCGCCATTTTTCCTCGCCCCTTTCTCTCGCCTTCGCATTCCTCCCCTAGCTTCTCCCACCCTCGCCCTCGCCCTAAATAGCGCCTGCTACGCAGGCTACGATACCATCTCCTCATAATTTTTCCAATTGGGAAATAAATTTGTTATGTATGGTATGTGCACGGCTGTTTGTTGTCTTGATTATTGTTAAGAATATCTTGAACAACAAGGAAATATTTCGGCATTTCCCTCCCAGAGGGAGATTTAGTATTAAAATAACTTGATTGAAGGCATCCCCTATTTTCCTGTTGTCAAAGTGTTTTTATTCTGTTTCTTTAAATACACAGGAGGAAAACCAGGGGACGTTTCGATGTTGCAGCGTGATGAGCGTTTTATTTATTATTTGGTACGTTTTTATTCAAGAAATGTTTTCAGGTATTGTATCAGTTTAACTGATTCAGTTACAGATACATACAGATATTTCACAGCACACTCCCTATCAGGGCTTTTCAGTGACTGGTTACATTGTGAATAGATAGATAGAACCGGACTGACGTGAAGCAGACCGAGGTAGACTTTGAGCTTACAAATGGCGCTTGGGCAGCCGCTATTAGTCCATACCTCATTAATGATCTGCCTCCTGACCTATGTTATGGGTGGGGTATGTCTATTTAGCGGAACTGCAGACCACGGAACTGCGGAACTCATTAATATCACCTTTTCTGAATATTGTTCATAAAAATATAAAACATATTGTTGCATAAGACATTGTTCCTTCAGTCATTTAAGCGTTTTGTTTAGGCATCCTTGTGCTGGTATTTCTTTGTTGTAAATCAAAAATGGTAAAAATGTCTAAAAAAATCACAGAGAATAGCACGTATATGTCACTTCCAAGCAAAACCAAGGGATCATTTACCATGAAATGGGCGGGGTTTTCGGGTTTGTTTTAGCTAATTTGTCATTTGTTCTATTTTTGCCCAGTAAAATGACGTAATTTAAACAATAATTCTTAATTAAATTTGGTCTGCAGTTCCAGTTATAAGTCATACCCTCCTGGAAGGAGGTATCCAGTTTGAAATAGAAATATCCGGTCGGACACCTAATATTTTTATTTAGGTTCAGGGCTTCTTTTCAGGTTAAAAATGATGAAAAAAATGGTTTAATAGTACGAGAATTTATTACTTATTAATATTTTTACTTGATATGTTGAGAATCTGGCAATACTTTTGGCAATATTTTTCATGCTCGCTCGCCAATGCTAGAAAAATTGGATTGGAAATTTTAACTTTTTGAGGAAGGATTTTTCAACCATGCATGTTCATCGACGTTAGACTGTGAAGTTCTTTCGTATCATTTCAAATCAATATATTACGGTATTAATAATAATAATATACATAAAGATATTACTCGACTGTGATTGGTTGATTTCAGTGCAGTTAATCCCAAACAGCAGTGCAATTTTCTGTAATCACAGTGCAATTTTCTGTAATCACAGTGCAAAAATCTGTAACAAACTGATCTGATTGGTGGAAAAACATTGTGATGATTCAATCAACCAATCAGTTTAAAGCAATTTTTAAAGAAGTAACGGTCACAGATTGCTTCAAAACAAAACAAATATGGCGCCGCGGTATACAAAGTAAAAGTTGCCTTCGCGTAGAAAAGATGGCTTTTATCTTTATTTTTAAATGGAAAAGCATTTACCTTAAACAAGACTAACAAAAATTATATAGTTGAGTGGAATTTTCAAGCTGTTAGCGTTGTATAATGTGATATAACAAAGCCGGGAAAACTTTGCCAGTGGAATGTTCGCTATAAACGCGTAAGTTAAAACTACGATTGTCTCGAACATTTTTATGTCAATTATTAATAAGTAATAGCATGGTTTCTCGTGAAATTTGGATAAACATGCACTCGTGAGTTTTTCAAAGACCTCAAATAGCACTCGTCCTTCGGACTCGTGCCATTTTGAGGTCTTTGAAAAACTCACTCGTGCATGTTATATCCAAATTGCACTCGAAACCATGCTATTACCTATACTAACACTGTGTAACACTATGTAAGAATATGTAACATTGTTAATAATATACATGAAGATATTACTCGACTGTGATTGGTTGATTTCAGTGCAGTTAATCCCAAACAGCAGTGCAATTTTCTGTAATCACAGTGCAATTAATTTTCTGTAATCACAGTGCAATTAATTTTCTGTAATCACAGTGCAATTAATTTTCTGTAATCACAGTGCAATTAATTTTCTGTAATCACAGTGCAATTAATTTTCTGTAATCACAGTGCAATTTTCTGTAATCACAGTGCAATTTTCTGTAATCACAGTGCAATTTTCTGTAATCACAGTGCAATTTTCTGTAATCACAGTGCAATTTTTTGTAATCACAGTGCAATTCTCTGTAATCACAGTGCAATTTTCTGTAATCACAGTGCAATTTTCTGTAATCACAGTGCAATTTTCTGTAATCACAGTGCAAGTTTCTGTAATCACAGTGCAATTTTTTGTAATCACAGTGCAATTCTCTGTAATCACAGTGCAAAAATCTGTAACAAACTGCAATTTTCTGTAATCACAGTGCAAGTTTCTGTAATCACAGTGCAATTTTTTGTAATCACAGTGCAATTCTCTGTAATCACAGTGCAAAAATCTGTAACAAACTGATCTGATTGGTGGAACAACATTATGATTAAATCAACCAATCAGTTTAAAGCAATTTAGTTTAAAGAAGTAACGGTCACAGATTGCTTCAAAACAAAACAAACATGGCGCCGCGGTATACAAAGTAAAAGTTGCCTTCGCGTAGAAAATATGGCTTTTATCTTTATTTTTAAATGGAAAAGCATTAACCTTAAGCAAGACTAACAAAAATTACATAGTTGAGTGGAATTTTCAAGCTGTTAGCGTTGTATAATGTAATATAAAAAAGCCAGGAAAACTTTGCCAGTGGGCAGTGGAATGTTCGCTATAAACGCGTAAGTTAAAACTACAATTGTCTCGAACATTTTTATGTAAATTATTAATAAGTAATAGCATGGTTTTTCGTGAA